TGGTTGGGGAGTGAAATTTTCAATTGCCCTATTCTTGTGGCATCGGTATGGAGGGAAGTTTTCCTACATGTAGGACAATAGAAGTTAAGAGTTATTTGGATCGTAGTTCAAGCAAATTCCTATTTGGGTAAGACTTCATGGTATTCCTATGGGATCGATGTATAGGGAGTCAGGTGAAGCCATAGGGAAGGAAATTGGGGAGGGAGGTGCTTGATGTTGATGTAGATGAATGTGGCATGGCAGCAGGAGAGTTTATGCGGGTGAAAGTCCGGCTAGATATCACAAAACCTTTGATGAGGGGTATTACTATCTTCCTGGAAGATGAGGAGGAGGAAAGGCAAGACAAAGAGATGACAAGCGAAGAAAAGAACAATGAGCAGAAGGGGAAAGATATTTTATTTACATATGAACACTTGCGGGCGTCATGAGCCACAATGATAGAGGCTGTCCAAATAAACAGAACCTGGGAGGTGGGCATGAATTTGGATCGTGGCTCAAGGCAGAAGACTGGGGAAGGAGTCCAAGTGAGGAGGATAGGAGCAGGAACTCTCGAGATAAATGGGGTTTTGGAAAGAATAGTGCTGGAGGCAGCAGGGGTAGCGATGCAATTACGTGGAGGAAGAATTCATATGATGGTGAAGGAGTGGGGGTCTCGGGTAAGAGGGAGGAAAAGGAAGCAACCAGCCCACTAAATAAACAAGCAAATGAGAAGGATGTAGAATCTGGAGGAAAGAAATTTCTTTTGGAAGGGATTTCGAGTGAAAGGACTGTACATGAGGTAAGGAATAGTGAAGCCCTGTCAGTCCCAATGGTGGTGGATCCTGAAATATCTCAAGGACAAGGGGGAAGTGAGAGTAGATGAGATTCCAGCGGAGGAGAGAAGGGGGGAAAAGCAGGCCACAACATATGAGAAGGTGAACCCAAAGGGGCCTCCGGTCAATGAGGGACGAGGAAATGAACAAAATATGCAGACTGTCGGGGAAAGGAAGACATGTGAAATTTTGAATAATGTAAAGGAAAAACGGGGCACTTTCAAGCGCTTCAAGAGAACACAACAAACACATACAAAAGACGCCAATGACCATGAACCAAAGAAGAGAGCATACTCGATATAGAATTTGAAATGGAATCGGAGACACTGAAAAAGTACAAGATGGAGATTGACTCAGGAGATGGAGCCAAAGCAAGTGTTAATAATGCAGAGAAGGATAGGAATGGGGAGGACCAAGAAAGAGTCACAAATGAAAAGCTCAAAGCTGAGTTGAAAGCAGGGCTGTCGGAATAGTCCCGCGGACCAAAATGAAAATCACGGTGTGGAACTGCCGGGGGTTGGGGAACAGCCCGGCAGTGAGAGGGCTTCTGGAACTCTAGAAGCAGGTGGACCCTGACATGCTTTTCCTATCTGAAACCAAGATGAACAGCAAAAAGATGGAAAGATTTAAACAAATGTTAGGGATGGACCAGATGTTGATAAGGAACTGTGAAGGAAAGAGTGGTGGACTAGCTCTACTGTGGAAGAAAGGAGTGAGAGTTGAGCTCCAAAAAATTTCAAGGCTCCATATAGATGTGGTAATAAACGAAAAAGGAAGGTTTCAAATGGCGGTTCACAGGAATTTACGGTGAACCTGCAAGTGATAAAAAGCACACAACCTGGAGACTCTTTAAGTGTTCTTAATCAGCAGATGAATCTTCCTTGATTATGTGTTGGAGACTTCAATGAAATCATGTACAACCATGAAAAGAGAGGAGGTCCGAGTAGATCACAAAAAGCAATGGAGAGTTTCAGGCTGGCACTTGCTGAATGTGGGCTGCGAGACTTGGGTTATTCAGGTGATAAATTCACATGGCGCAACCACAACCATATAGCAAGTCGATACATAAAAGAAAGGTTGGACAGGGCAACAGGGAATCGTAGCTGGTGCAATCGATTCCCAAACTACAAAGTCGTGAATGAGGATCCGAGACATTCAGATCACCGTCCTGTAACTATATTGATGGAGAGTACAAATCATAGACACAATACAGGAGGGTATGCCAAAGATTTTAGATTTGAAGCCAAATGGTTGCAAGAGGAGGATTGCGAGGCAGTGGTGAACAATGCATGGGCTACTGCTGCAGGGCGAGGAGTAACTAAAGCAGCCGACAAGTTGCATGCAGTAGCTTGTGGCTTAAAAGAGTGGGACACAAACGTCTTAGGCGATCTAGAAAAGACGATAAAACAAATCAAAAGAGAATTAGAGGAAGTAAGGAGGAAAGAGATCAACCAGGTTAATGTTTCAAGAGAACTTTTTTTGAAGGAAAAGCTGGACAGATTAGAACATCAAAGGGATATTTTTTGGAAGCAACGAGCTCATGTCAAATGGCTTGAATCAGGAGATAAGAATACTGCTTTCTTCCATGCTTTTGCATCGGAAAGAAAACACAAAAACACAATTCGGAAGCTGAAGAAGGAAGATGGTAGTTGGATAGAGGGAGAGGAGCAACTGGAAAATCACATTGATGGCTACTTTTATAGTCTCTTCTCATCCACAGCCGGGTAGGAAAATGAGGCCATTTTGCAAGCAATAAATCCAAAGGTAAATGAAGGCATGAACAGAGTCCTTTGCGCTGAATACACAGAGGATGAGATTCGGGAGGCCTTATTCAGCATTGGAGATTTGAAAGCTCCTGGTCCTGATGGGATGCCAGCAATCTTTTTCAAAAAGTTTTGGCAAACTGTAGGGGATCAAATACCGTCGGAGATGCTCAATGTCCTGAATGGTGGCGAAATGCCAGAAGGCTGGAACAATACGACGATTGTCTTAATCCCAAAAACAGCAAAGCCAGAAAAATCGAAAGATTTGAGACCAATAAGTCTCTGCAATGTACTTTACAAGGTGGTCTCCAAGGTGATAACGCTTAGACTAAAAAACCATTCTACCTGACATCATATCCTTGAATCAAAGTGCATTTGTGCCAGGGCGCATGATCTCAGACAATATCCTATTGGCGTATGAACTTTCGCATTTTATTCGTAGAAGAGGGAAGGAAGGCACATGCTACGCGGCACTCAAGTTGGATATGAGTAAAGCATATGATAGGGTAGAATGGAAATTCTTAAATGATATGATGATCCAAATGGGATTTAACAGGAGCTGGGTTAAGCTAGTGATGAAGTGCATTACAACAATAAAATATCAAGTGAAGGTCAATAGAGATGCCACAGAAGTGTTTGTACCACAGTGGGGATTACGGCAGGGAGACCCACTATCTCCATACATGTTCCTCATATGTGTTGAAGGGTTCTCAGCCATGTTACATAAAGCAGAAGCAAATCAAAATTGAAAGGGATTAAAATCTGTAGGCAAGCCCCAAGTGTCAGCCACTTATTATTTGCAGATGATTCGTTATTGTTAATGGAGGCAAATGCCAATGCAGCCCAGGAAGTGAACAGAATCTTGCATATTTACGAAGCATGCTCAGGAGAGATGATCAATAAGGAAAAATCAGCAATAATGTTCAGCAAGAACACAGAGGAAAGAAAAATAAATGAGATGAAGAGGATCTTAGGCATCAACATTGAAGGAGGTGTTTGGTTCTCTGGCCGGTAACGCAAACGTTAATGGTAACAGGTCACGGGGGGATCGCAGGGGTAACAGTCCATTTGTTATTTTGTTTGGCACATGCTAGTAACGTTATCAGTTACCTTTACAGTGTTTGGTGTGGCCCTGTAATCTGAATACATCAGACAACTTTCACATGCAGAACCAGTTTTAAATTCATGCAATTTGACAAGGTTTTCACATGCATTTCACAGGTGCTTCACTAGCACAGATTCAAACTCATCAAACAAGTACATAATTTAAAAATATTTTTGCATTCATCCAAGACATCCTTTAACCAGATTTTGACACCACTTCTAAAATGCATATTAACTCATTAATACAAACTCAGACTTCAACAACAATTCGAGATGAACTACATAATTAGTCCCCAAAATTATTTTGCAAGGCAAGTCCAAAGGCCAATTTCAGAATCTTGCAAAGTAGCTTTTCCATCGACCATTCCTCTGATCAACCACACCACCCATCTTTTCTAATCAACCGTGCTTCTTTTTTTCATCTGCCAAAATAAGCAAGAGTTAAATAAGAAATAAAGAAACAGACAAGAGACAACCACTAATTCAAAAATTAATAGCTGAACAAGCACTCTGATTGCAAAATTGGATCAATCCATAATCATCATCATTTATTCTGTTGTTCACTAGAAAATCACTTGACCTAGCAAGACAATCAAGAACTCCAATGATAATTTATTTGACATATATCTAAGCAAATGCTTATTATCCATGTTCATTGTAAATTAACATCACATGTTAAGCTTGTCAAGTAGAGATTGGACGAAACATATACTACGAATGTAAGCAGAGATTGGATGGAACATATACTACGAGTGTCAAGCAGAAGCAGGAAGTCAACTAGACATTGCAAATGCATATACTAGCAGCAAGTCAACTCGAGATGGCAAATCATATACTAGCAGCTAGTCAAGTACATATTACAGATTCGTATAGCAGCTAGCCAATCAGAGGTAGATGTTATCAAAGCTGATAAGAGTTTAGCAAAAGAAATTTTGGAGTTTAGCAAAAGGATACCAGAGAGCATTTTTAGGACATACTCCCTCCTCAGATTTTCTGGAAGCGCAAGCATCATGTTCATCTGATCTGGAGCTTTAGCAAATACGGTTGCAGCCTCAACGATCTCGCTCCCGGTAAAGCTAAGCCTAGCCAATTCACTAATAGCCTTCTCTTTTGATTTCTGCTGAGGATCCTCTTGCGCTGCTTCTCGTGCCATTGATGCTGACAATGATGCTGCCATTGTACCCACATATTGTGTCACATTGTTGAGCTGGCTATTGACATCTTGAAGCATCACTGCAAAGGGATCACTTGGTCCCGTCACCCTCTTTGGCCTTGGTTCCTTCCTCTGCCTCTTGGAAGTAGTTCCATCCATAGAGCGAGTATCGACAGACCGTCTAGCTGTCCCTGTTGAGATCAAGTCCTCTTCCTCGTGTTCCTCTTCTTCTATAGCAATTTCATTTTCCAAGTTTCCCACTGCCTCACCAAAGCCTTCGGCATTTTCTCCAGTTGCTATGTCCTTGCCATAAATAGCAGCCAACTGCTCAAAGTACGGAAATAGGACACCATACAATCCCTTTGCCTCACTATGAATCTACAAATTTTTTCATAAAACAAGGAACTTAGTCTCTGATAGAAATGCGACAGGTATATAAAAAGGCAACGAGCAATAATAGAAACAATAAGAAGGCAAGAAAGGTACAACATCAAGCAAAGGTACAACATCTTCTGGTTAACAATAGCAATGTGCATAGCAACATTACAATAACGATAACAAGGCAGCAAGCAATTCAACATTAACAAGGAGTTCAGTTTTGATGGGTGAAGTGATCTACCTTACAATGTGCTTCATACTATGCCTTCTCACATTGAATCATCTTCCAGTTTCCATCCCATGTGAAACCACTTTTGGATAACATTACTTCAAGAGCATCAAATTTTGTCCTAAAGTGCCTCACTCTTGACTCGATGTGTGGAATTGCAGAGATACCACAACCCGGGCACTTTTCAGCAAGGTGCTTCTCCAATACCACCAGGTATCCATTTTTGAAGCTACCATCTGCCTTCCACCTTGGGTCCAAAGACAACTCATACAAGGCTTTAATAAGTTCATCATCCTCATCCGAAGTCCACTTCCTTTTATTCTTGCCTCTTCCACGAGACGTACTTGAGGTGTCCACATCCATATCTGTACAAAGGAAGAACAAATACAAATAAGAAACAAATATATATGAAATGGGACAAATGCAAATGAGATGCAATTGAAGCTTATTTGAAAAAAAGAAAACTAGCAACAAAGTGAACAAATAGAAATGATTTATACCTCAATGACCCCTAGCAGCCCTATGTCTATTATACATGTCTTGCGCAAGAACATTCCGGAAATTTGTCCATTCGTTCGAAGTTGAGATAGAAGTAATGAATTCTGGTTGGCCTAATTCTCCCTCCATGCCTTCCAATGTTTCTTGTATTATTGGCTCGTCATTATCAAGTGGGTCAAGTGGCATATTTTACAAGATTAAATTGTGCAAGAGTGCACATGCCATGATGATTCGACATTGGGTCTTCATAGGAAAAAAGGACGGGGACCTCAAAATCGCCCACTGACCCTTGAGTCTTCCGAAAGACCTTTCTACAATATTTCGGGCTCTGGCATGCCGCATGTTGTAATACTCCTCTGCACTACGAGGTGGGTTCTGTGCTGTCCAACCACCCAAGTGATACCTTTGACCACGGTATGGAGCTAAAAATCCTTTCGCATTTGTGTAACCAGCATCGACAAGATAATATTAATCTTCAGGGACACGCAACCCATTTGGCCTTGAGATGGCATCTCTAAGAACACGACCATCATGTGCAGAACCCTCCCAACCAGGTAGTATGTAAATGAACTGCATGTCAGGTGCACACACACCTAACACATTTGTATTTACATCACCCAACCTTGATCGGTATCTTTCTTTCATAGTAGCTGGGACGGTTACCCCTACGTGTGTGCCATCTGACGCTCCAAGACAATTCTACAACATAAACAACAATGTGCAAACATTAGCATCTTTACCACTATTGAGTTCATCTAGTAATTTTTTTCATTAGTAGCTATTTACCTTGAAATATTTCCATTTACCATCTGTGAAGTCCTCGGGTATAGGTTCTGGTTTCTTAAGTAGCAATGGATGAAGCTTCAAAACAGCTAGAAGACAAGCATTGAAGTTCCTACTAACTGGCTCCGGGCTTCGGTAAAAGAATTTCCTTACTGTCCTATTTTTGAAATGGTGAGCTAATACATAAAGGAATGATGCCACTATCTCCTCCAATGATGTATTCCTTGTACCCCTTAGGCCACCAACATCTCTCACCATCTCACATAATATATGAAATGTTCTCCTATCCATACGAAGTTGACTTATACATGCCGCGTCACTCTCACCAATTAGTTTATACAAATTCTCTCCTCTTAGCTCTCTAATTCTAAGCCTCCTTTCTATTTGCCAACACTTTCTTCTATAAACTAATCCAAAGATTAACCACACATAATAGTATACAAGCATAATGGCACTCATCAGATTAATAAATGCTACATTTCTTCTTCGACGTCTCGCGCTTAAGGGAAGACGGGCCATAACTGAAAAGATATACAAGATATAGGGTAATTTCAGGAGGTGTGGTTGCTTGCTAAAAGAAATTAATGTCTACTCAAGTGTATGAGTGAAGTAAATATATGATAGCATGTGTTCTTATCATTGCTTGTTGTTGCATTGGCAAGATTCATACCACTATAAGAAGAAAATATCGTTAAGAACAGATCAACATTAGGGGAAGAACTCACCAACCGATGGGGGAGGAGAGGAATGAGCAGGACAACCGATGAACCACTGTTGGGAAAAAGAATGTGAAAGTGGAGGTTGATAAGCGAAAATACAGTACACTTCAGATCCTGCACACGAAAACAAAACAAAATTTTAGAAATTGCTATCATTTATAAGCCAGCACAATAGTATACAAACAAAATAATAGTTCTCCTAAAGAGAACAGATCAAAGAGTGTAAATAAGTGGCACCGTCGTCATCATAGTATGCACACGGTCACATATTATTAGCGTCTAGAGATCACAAGACTGAATTAGAAACAAAATTCTCAAGTTGAAATCTCAAGGCAGCAACATATATATAAACAGGACACAAAGACAAGCTAGATACCACTATAAATAAGAACAGATCAAAATGTTCAGTTAACTTAATCTGGTTCGCAGCAATATGTTCAGTTAAGTCATCCTTGCAATTGTAGCATGACCGTCATCATGAGTGACGCTCAGGCTTAATCTCCATAGAGTTTGTTTCTCACCATGGCTATCTTTATAGCTCCCATTTTCAGGTCATGATTAATCACAGGTAGTTTACTTCTATCTACAATACACAACTGCTAGAACCAAACAGTACAGGACAAGATGATCAAGAACAGATCAATATTTTTCTAGTGTCTCATCGAATCAAGAAGAAATCAAGAAAAAAAATGTAAATGATGTTTAGCCCTAACCTAATCTGGTAGCATGGCCGGTGCTGCTTCTCGACGGCAAGAACGAGGACGACTAGATGGCTCTGGCACTGAACAGTGAGGTGCTGGATCTCACACACACACACGTCCTCTTTGAACCCCCACGCAGGCCAGCACGATGTGGATGTCCAGGCTTGAGATCTTGCGCAAGGACCTGGGAAACTGAAAGGAGGAGAGGTGTCCGGTGAAAAACCACAAGATCTGGTCGATCCGACGGCGTACGCGTGGGGAAGAAGGAGCGGACGGTCAGGTGACCTAACTACAGCCCTGAAGCTTGAGGTGTCGCCGTGTCGGGGAAGGAGCGGGCGGGCTTCTTCTTGACGCCGGGGAAGTCGGCCTCGACGCCTCCGACGCCGACGGGGGTGGCCGGAGAAGGAGATCAGCGAAGGGCAGACGAGGGCTGGAGGCGGCGGAGGGGAAGGGTTGGAGGCTCGGGGGCTCGGGGAAGGGATCTGTTTGCGGTCAGGTTCGGGCGTAATCGGACCGAGACTTGGGTGGGATCTGTTTACACCGTAACGAATAACGGAGCTACCTAAACAAACAACTATTAACGCATCTGTTACCTTCGTTATCAGGTTGCGTTACAATTTGCCGAACCAAACACCTCCGAAGGTTTTTCAGGCAGATACTTAGGCCCACCAGTATACATAGGCAAGAACAAAACAAAGACCTTCAACTTTATAAGGGAGAGAGTCTGGAAGAAAATCCAGGGAGGAAATGAGAAACTTTTATCAAAAGCAGGAAAGGAGATATTGATTAAAGCAGTTGCTCAAGCAATACCAGTTTACGCCATGTCATGTTTTGATCTCACAAAATCATTTTGTGAGGACTTAAGCTCTATGATCAATCGTTACTGGTGGAGCCAGATGGACAAAGAAAATAAAATCCATTGGGTAAGCTGGGAAAAAATGACAAAACCAAAGAAGGACGGAGGTTTAGGTTTTAGGAACTTACATTTTTTTTAACCTTGCCATGCTGGCCAAACAAGCATGGTGCATCATTCAGAATCCCTCCTCACTTTGTTCACGAGTGCTAGCAGCAGGATACTTCCCTAATGGTTCGCTTTTGCAAGCAACTCCAAGTGCAGGCATCTCCTATGCATGGCGAAGTATTCTGAAGGGAGTCCAATTATTAAAAAAGGGGATAATATGGTGGGTTGGGAACAGAGAAGACATTAAAATCTGGTGTGGCCTTGGATCCCGAGAGGTAGTATAAGGCGAATAATATCACCAAAGGGAAACAACTTGCTCTCCAAGGTGTCTGAACTAATTAACCCCATAACAAATCAGTGGGATGAAGATCTGATCCGGCAAACCTTCTGGGTCGAGGATGCAAATGTTATTCGTCAGATTCCTCTCCAAGACAATACATGTGATTTCCTTGCATGGCATTTTGATAAAAAGGTCTATTTTCTGTTAAATCTGCATATAAGATGGCATATATAAACTTATGAATATTTTATTGGCATGCTTGTCTCTGAACCCCATTTGCAGTCCTCAGATTTGTTCATTCATATTGATGTTTGCATTATATTGGCTCGTGTCTACCAGGTACTCTATGTGATGAATCCAAACAAGTTCAGGGCTTGTGAGTTTCTAATTCGATTCCATGAACAACAACGCGGGGATAAGATCATTGTATTTGCTGATAATTTATTTGCACTAACTGCATACGCAATGAAGCTCCGTAAACCAATGATTTATGGTGCCACAAGGTGACCTCTCATCTTAGACAATTCTACTTATGCGCCATAGGTTATATACTTATGTTGGCTTCGCATCTCGCAGCCATGCGGAGAGGACAAGAATTTTGTATCAATTC